AAATCCAAATGCAACCATTATAACACCTGTTAAATTGCCTCAGAGGCAAAATATTGTTTTTCTGGGTTATCTGAATAATAAACATTATGTCTCTACTTTACCAAGTACAGACAAGGAAACTGATAATAAAAGAAAAGAAATGCTTACAAAAAAGAGAGTAATTGCTAAGCAACAGCGATCCAATGAAACTACGCATGCAAAAAAGCTCCGGCTTGAAAAGCAGACCACATTCAATAAATCATGCAGAGCAAATGAAAGCAAAGATGTAGTGAACCCTAAGTGTGCTAAAAAGAAAAAGGCATCCAGTGCCTCTGATTGTCTTGGTGACTCAGTTAAAACTAAATATTTGAATGAATTTGATAGCACAAAAAATGGTCTATTACATGATCAAAGTTGGGCAAAATTCAACATGAATCAATTTCACAAATCTATGCAATATTCAATTTTCCAATGCACAGTCTGCTGTGAGCCATGGCCAATCAACACCAAACCAAAATCTGATACATATGTTTGCTTACGATGCTCTAGAGATAAAAACATTCCAAAAAGATTTTCTGAAGACAATGCCATGATACCAGGATCAGTACCTGTTGAGTTACAAGGTTTAACTCAAACAGAAGAAATGCTAATTGCTCGAGCCCTTCCAATCATGAGGGTTTATGTTAAACCTGGTGGGCAGAGAGCTTATATTCTGGACATTGCATTAATTTGCCTCAGCATGTTGAAAAGCTTGCATCAGTTTTGCCCAGGTATCCTAAGGACCTGTCTATAATTATAGTAAAAATGAAAGGTCAGGGCAATACATTTAAAGATGTAAAAGTTAGAAGGAAAAAAGTGCAGGATGCTTTATTATGGCTTTTGCAAAACAATCCACATTAAAAAATGTTACTATTAGTAAACAAGCTTTGGAGTCATTACCAGTTGATGGTGTACCATCTGAGATCATGACTGTTGAATCTGTTAGTGATAGTGTGCTTGAAGAAATTACTTTACCTGACTTGGGTCCTCCTACTGAAAATGATGAAGATAAAGTTTATAATCAGACAACAGAAGTTAGTAGCTTTATGCCAGTTAATCAAACACAACCACAAGAAGTGGTTGCCATACAAAATCATATTTGTCAAAAAGAAAAAATAAATTGGCCCACAGTTGATGACCAGCCCATTAATGAATATGAAACACCCTTTTTAGCTACACTAGCATTTCCTACACTATTTCCTGTTGGTAAAGGAGATCCAACAAATCCCTCGCTTTTAAAGGATATTCCTTTGGCTGAAAGAGTAAAGCACCTAATCAAATTTGCTGAAAACATTGATGGCAAATGGATTTATAGATTCGCCAGTCACCCGAGGTTTAGCTATTGGGTATTTAACATGATACAGAGAAAACGAACCTTGCAACAAGGCGGAATATTTCTTAAACAAAATCCAGGGATGCTCACTTGACAATAGATGAACTGCGTGAAATGGCTACAAGTTCTAGTAACAGTAATGCCTTTCTTTCTAAAATATCCCGATATGTAGCAAATATTGCTGGCTCTAATGCTTACTGGTATAAAGTAAGAGAAGAACTCAAAGCCATTGTAACAACAGTTGGAACCCCCACATTTTTCTTTACATTCTCATCAGCAGACATGCATTGGCCAGATTTACATGCACTATTTGGGAGCGTCAATGCCACTAGTGAAGAAAGGCGACAAGCAGTAATCAATAACCCACATATTGTAGATTGGTTTTTTACTCAAAGACTTGAAAGTTTCATCAAGCACTGGTTGTACAAAACACTTGATGCCAAATGGCATTGGTATAGATTCGAATACCAAGCACGAGGAAGCATACATTGCCATGGGATTGCAAAACTAAACAATGACCCTGGTTTGTGTGATCTAACTAAGATTGCTCTTAAGGGCTTCATAGCACAAAGGTTCAAAAATGAAAACAAAGAACTTGAAAACACACTAGCGCTCGACAATGATATTATTGCTGGTAAGAAAGCTTCTGAATTAGCTTGTAAGTATGTAGATTGGTTGCTTTCTACATTGAACCCAAATCCACCAGATGATGGATTGTGGCTTAGACCAGAAACACATCCATGCCAAAAGCGCTATGATGACATTTCAGATGGTGATATGCATGACGATTATTGTGATCTTTTAAATATGGTTCAACGCCATACACGTTGTAGCACCAATTATTGCTTAAGAAAAAAGCCCCCTAATTCTGAACCAAAATGTAGATTTAATTATCCACAGGAAAAATGCTGTAAGACGAGGCTAGAATTTGAAGAAGTTAATACTAATGGTCATGAGCAACAATTTAGAGCTAAAATGGTCACAAGGAGAAATGATTCTCGGCTAAATAACCACCAGCAGCTTCAACTGCAAGGTTGGAGAGCGAATTGTCATATACAAATAGTTATTGACCACTATGCTTGTGTCGAGTATCTTACCAAATACGCTGCAAAATGTGAGCCTAGGACCACTGTGCTTAAAGAAGCATTTAACAGGATTGTAAATAATACTCCTAGCAATGCTAATTCTCATAAAGCTATTAAAAAAATTATTATGAAAACTGCTGGTGAAAGAGATTATGCTGCACAAGAAACAATGCATCATCTGCTCTCTCTTAAACTTCACAGTTCAAGTTTCAATGTGATACCTGTTTGCTTGAATGGGTCACGCAGGATTAACGTGTTTTCAGCAGATGGTGAAGTCTGTTCTAACAATTCCCTACTTGATATTTACGCTAATCGTGCGCAATACTCCAGTGCAATTGATACAACCAAATTAAATTTCGTTCAATTTGCGACACAATTTAAAGTTGTGAACAATAAGCTTGCAAAGCTTCCAGATAATGTAGTTCCTAGAATTTTTCCTACATATTCACCAAATCCAGCAGGTCCAAACTTTTCTCAGTATTGCAAATATCAACTTTTAAGATACAAACCTTGGCAAATAACACAAGAAAGTGCTTGGGATAATGTAGAGCCATCAAATGAAAATATGATCAGTAAATGGCAAGAATTTCTTCAAACACAATACGCAAAGGAAAATGTACCTGACTGGTTCGATAAACTTCAATCTGTGATTCAGCGTCCAAAAGAGCCCGAAGAACAGGTAGTTGACACAGAATCCGGAAACACACGTGAAGAATGGATGGTCATATCAGATCTTCATACACCTTTTACACATTCTTTGGAAACAAACTTAGAATCTGTTTATGACTGGAACTGTGATAGAGCTCATTTTTCTGAGCAACAAATTGGCGATATGCCTACCTGGATAAAAAATATGAGAGCACAGGCAGATCAAGTTTTACATGATAACCACGAAAATATTGATATTGATAGCTTTAGTGAAATGCAGACACTTGCATATAACATTGTCCATTCTCACCTGAACAACACGTCAGCTGATAGAAACAAAGTCTCACTTGCCCTTATCATTAATGGGGTTGCAGGTACTGCAAAAGCTATCTTATAAATGCTATCCGGGTGCTACTAGGTGAGAAATGTGCGGTCACTGCTACAACGGGTAAGGCTGCCTTTAATATAAATGGAGTGACAGTTCACTCACTTTTGAAACTACCAGTTGGTTCGAAAGGTAATAAAGATCTTACAGGGCAGAGTTTGATAAGATTACAAGAATCTTTGAGCAAAATTGATTATGTCATAATTGACGAATATTCCATGCTTGGTCAAATGACATTTGGTTGGATAGATAGACGGTGTAAGCAAGTGTCTGGTTACCAAGACAGATTGCTTGGTGGTAAATCTATGATTTTATGTGGTGATCCAGGCCAATTACCTCCAGTAGCAGACAAGCCGCTTTATCATGCGGTACCAACGAATAGTATTGGTGAACAGGGATATGTTACATATCAGATGTTTGATAATGTAGTTAAACTCGATGTAAATCAGCGTGTACAGGGAAATGACCCAGAGCAAACACGATTTAGAGAGTTATTGCTGAGGCTAAGAAAAGGTGAATCAACAGTAGATGACTGGAAACTGCTTTTGACTCGACAACCTTTAAGAATTTCCAACTTATCCGAATTTAATGATGCAACAAGATTGTTTTATAGCAATGAGGAAGTTGCTAATTTTAATTATGAAAACCTTGTCAAACTTCAAAAACCAATTGCTCAAATAAACGCTCGACATTCTTCTGCCACCGCTCGAAAAATTCCTGCAGATGAGTTTTCTGGCCTTCAGCCTGTGCTGTATTCAGCTAAGGGTGCGAAGATTATGCTGACAATGAATTTATGGCCGACTGTTGGTCTTTGCAATGGTGCGACAGGCACTGTTGAATATTTTATATATGAAAATAACCACCATCCTCCTGATCTGCCAATAGCAGTTGTTGTTAAATTTGATAATTACAGAGGTCCATCACTTTGTCAGACACTCTCGAACTATGTACCAATATGCCCCATCAATGTTACTACCCAGTCATTAGATGGATTCCATGAAAGGCAACAACTCCCTTTACGATTAGCTTGGGCCATTACAATACATAAAAGTCAAGGTCTTACTTTATCTAAAGCTTGGATTAATATTGGAAAGAAAGAAAGTTGTCCCGGAATGACGTATGTGGCTTTAAGTAGAGTGAGAACACTCTCATCGTGTGTCATTGAGCCTATGACTTATGAGCGTTTATCAAAACTTAATTCATTGAAAACATTCCAGTACAGACGAAAAGAGGAGGATAGATTACATGAAATGGCCAAAAAAACATTTGAACAATTTATAGGGCAAAATCTTTAATTTTATTTTTTGGAAATTTTACCGCTTCCTCAGGGAATTATTTTAAAAGTTACAATCGTAGAATAGTAATTGTATTTATTTTTGCTTAATTGTTCGTAAATTCAAAGTTTATGCTACTGTACAGTTAATTACCATCAGCTTTCTTGCTTTTCATAAGACAGTGAAGTATTTTTTTTATTTTTTCACAGTTCCGCTGAGGTCATATCAAAATAAAGTAAGTTCTATTTTTTTGAATTATTGTTAAAATAATAAAGTTATCAGTAACAACATTAATAACATTTCTTTTTTGCAGATGGCTGATGATCCAAATTCTAATACACCACCAGGTAAGTCTTGTATAGGTATAATAGTAACACACGCAAGTCGATTGGCTCACGATTCATGAAAGCTAGGGTACGAGGCCAAATAACGTAATTATCGAAACAGTGTATTTTGATCAGGGTCTGATAACACCAGTTCCACCAGCTGTCGATGTTATTCAATACTTATTTTCATTCCCCTTGTGTTATATGTAGAAACCCTGTTGTGCTATTTGCACAACATTTCGCAAGTTAAAACAGCAACTGAATCAAAACGAAAGTACTTCAACTGTGTGGTTCAGTGTGATAACAGGGCACTGAGAGGCGTATGTTTTTCGCCAGAAAAGAGATCTGAGATGAGCGCCGTCGCAACCACCAAAAGTCCAGTCAAGATTAAAAACTTTAAACGAGCAAGAAATGATGAAAACAATGTAACAATAACAAAGTATACCACGATCACCCCAGTCGAACAAGGCGAGGTCGACTTTGCCTTTTCTGAAGAATTATCCCAATCTGCAACTGGAGAACCTGTCTCCGTTTCTTCAGTATCCAATTTGGTGTCGGAGCAATTGATAACTATTAAAGGGAAAGTCCTAAAAGTGTCGGGTCAGAAAGTACAAGCAACGCGCTTTGGCAGGGTCAGAAAACAAGATGTCATCGTAGCAGATCCAAGCGGCTATATTAAACTGGTTCTATGGGGCGACTTTGTCAATACTCTTGATGTAGACCACACTTACGTCTTGAAAAATGTAAGAATAAAGTGTACCAGATTCGAAAATTATCTCAACACACCGAAGAACGAAGAGTTTTCTGCGGTTGAATCTGCAGTTTTTGATGCCCCTGTTGCTGCGTATGAGCATGAGATTGACACGACAACAGAAGTTATGGCCAAAATTATCGGAGTCCAACAAGCTTCCAAGACCCTGTCCTGTAATGGATGTCAAAAACAAGGCCTCGAGATTCTTTCATCCAACAAAGCTGTGTGCCGCTTCTGCAAATTGCAGCAGCTTCCTTCAACCTGTAATGTTAATTGGAATTTACGAATTCTTGTCAAGCAACAAGACCAATCAACGAAGAATCTTCAAATGCGACTCGACCACACCACCACTGAATCGTTACTTCGTATGCTAAATGCCACCTATGATCTTCAGTCAGCTACAGAAGATGACATAGTTGCCACAATCTTGGAAAATTATGAAACATTGTATTATTTTACCTACGACTTTCTTACAGGCCAAGTGACCCAAGTCGTCTAACTTGAACATTATGTGTAATTATGCATTAAAAACTATTGTACTAGAGTTCAATTTCACTGGTTTGTTCAAATTTAACTTTACTAATTTTATATTTTCATTTCATAATACAAGGAACAACAAGGAACTGTATGACCATTTCATCATGTTTATATTAGGGCGTTGTATTCATGACTTTTGTCATTATTAAATTTTGTTACAGTTGTAATTTCTAATCTATTTACAGCCATTAGAACTATATTATGTGAGTATATCCCACCTTGTTATTAAGTAAATAAATAACTTGCCTGATTTCCCTATGAAAATGGCTTGATATCTTCTGCAATATATTTTTAGATTGAATTGATCTTTCGGAGTCGAACGCACTTCACTAATCTTTGATTATTACTAGTATATAGTTGTATTAAATCTTCGATCCTGTGCAAACTATGCGACGTGTCAACGCGCCCATACACGACCACATCATCTTGTTAAACGGCGAAATAGCAGCGATATTATTAAAATAGGACCGAGTCTACATGTATTAAATATATTCTTACCCCAATTCAATCTAAACTTAATCGAACAGCATAAAAAGAACGGTTTATTTGTTCCTCTTGGAGGAATTGCCATATCATGCGAGCGAAATCGAATCGCGCATTGGAAAATTAGCCAAAGCTGTGCACCACAACTCTTGGGAGATAAGACTGGGACGTAGATAAATACGATCACATACACTATTCAAATACTAGTATATTTCGCGCCATTACAGACTTGCGACGACGAAAAATAATAAAAAAAAAAATAAAAAGAAACAAAACAAAACAAAACCGGGGCGAATTTTCAACTCCGTCGCTGACGCCGGAGTAATTATATTGGCTTCACCACTCATTTGCATAATTTCACAATATTTAAAGCTATATATAACCTAATCATTTGACAATAATGATATAAACCTATATATAACCTAATCATTTCACAATATATAAACCTAGTGAAAATTAGTGTACAGACAAATGTTTGGAATCGGTGGAAATGACCTGTTGAACATGCAAAATACCGAGCAAACAAATACGTAAAATTAAAGAACGCTTCCAGAATATAGGGAATTACCCGCGCTGATAAAAAGTGGGGATTACCCTCCCAGCAGGGGTTTTCTTTGCACAAGACCATTACTATGGGGGAGGGCCGGCATTAATGTTGTTTATTATGTATTCTTTTCAAAAATTTATTGTCTTTCTTTTTTACTATCCCACCCACTGCGAGGAAAGCGATGTGCAAATATTTTGTGGAAACCCTGCCGCTTCTACACATATGGTTATGAAAATGTACTGAAATATAGCATTATATTTCGGTACGATCTTTTGCATTAAACGAAAGCTAACACTCAGTGCAAGTAGTGTTTGTTCACTTAAAATGGTTACATTTTTCCAATACGTTCTCTCGGTGCTTGCTATTGTTTTATTGGTAACCAGTCAAAGTGTCTTTGGCGACGCTTACAATATTATTACAACTGCTTCAAGTGGAACAGACAGGAAATGTCGTTTGATCGTCAACGAAAAAGATTTGTGGTTTCTACAGGAACTAGGTCGAAATAAGGCTGTTCATATTGTAGAACTTGATCTTCAATTCACCTCTAAAAAGAAAAATCCCACAGTCAAAAAGTGGAAATGGATGTGGACAGACAATATCGGTCATAATATCTTGGCATTGCTCGCAATAAAATCATCAAAATCGCCTCTGGCTGACCTAGCTGTGCTTACGTGGACTCTCGACGTTGGCAGAAAAACAAGTCGATTTCGTGTAAGTGATAATCCCGTCGGATGTACGACATCTAAAAATTCACCAGGTGATTTTATTGCTGGAGCTCTTTTGAGGCAACTGTCTATGAATCAGGAGAAAGAAATCTGTTTTAACAAAAACGCGACCCAATCCACGAAAAAGAGATGCTGCAAAAGTTACAACAATAATCCTCGAAAATATCATTGTTATGTAAGGTCAGCTGAATCTGAATTCGTGCGCACAATTAAGACGATCCTATCTGTGCTTCTATATGGGCTCTTTGTTTTTATTCCTGTGATATCATTAATTGCTATGATATTAATAAGCAAAAAGGAGGAAAAAAAGGTCAATGGTTATTACAGGTTAACGGAAAGTCCGATGTCATTACTATCCATTCTGCGTCTGTTGTTTTGGAATGGTTTTGGAAGGGTGAGATCTTTTGTACGCAGGTTTTTGCTCTTGGGAGTGGTCTTCGTTTTATCTTGGACACTGAAATTGTTCGATTACTCTGCCGTTTATTTTGTGCTTTTTGCGCTCTCGGCACTGTCGACTCCTCTTGCCAGCTTGTACAATTGTGAAGAGATTTTCGTGGAAATTGACTTTTTAGCTCTATTGTATTCATCCTCTATTGTAAAAGCATTTCATTATTTCGCTTATGACATAGATATCTATTTGTTGTCCAAGGCCAGATCGAAAGTGATTGGTTTAGTAACGTTGCCCTTCAACATAAAACGCTGGAAAAAATCATTGATTAACTTGTCTGAATCTGTTAAGTCCTCTAATACATCACGATGTTTTGTACGGTGTAAAGTTCTGCTGTACTTTAAAGTTGTTTTTCTTTATTTGGTTTACATTCCGGTTGTTTTTATCTTGCAAGTTGCTTTAATGTTTGTATGCCTGTATCATTGTGTTAACTTACTTTTATCCAGCGTTCCTGCCAAAACAAGGAGGCAAAGTTACTATATGAAGTGTATTGCCAATCTTTGTTTTCTCTCATTTCCAATATTCCTTTGTTTTTACTTGATGCCTCCTGTTTTATTTATCCTGCTTTGGGGAATAATTCTCAATATTGTCTGCTTTTTTCCTTACATTGTTTACATATCAATTCTGACATTTTACTCCTGGATGTTTTGGTCATCTGTTGAACAACAATATGTCGTCTTGATGAGGCTGATTTATGATTGCAACATGCATTACAAAAATAACAATGACAACAACAATGACAACAACAATGACAACAACAATGACAACAACAATGACAACAACAATGACAACAACAATGACAACAACAATGACAACAACAATGACAACAACAATGACAACAACAATGACAACAATGTCCCCAACAACGTGAGTTGTCTATCGTTAAAAATTATTCACAGTGACTCCGGCAGTGGAGAAAGCGAGATGTTGAACGAAAATAGTAAAATTCTGTGCGTGGTATCAAAGAAACTCTATGATAATATAAGAGAACGCCTCTTACCATACCATGTGATTCTTTTTTACTTTGTTTTAAAAGTCTTTTTCACTTTTCTTTTCTCTTATCTTATTCTCACTCTCGTTCGAGTTCTTCAAGCCAGTGATGTTTCCCCAACAGTCCAGTTACTCACAACGGTCAGCGTGAGTGCTTTTCCTTACATTATGAATATTGTTGCGGCGAAAAAAGGAGAAGATCAGAAAGATGCGTGGAAACAACAGTTGAAACAACGAGTGAAACCATTAGTTAACAAACTGACGGCTGCAAAACCTGAATTACGTCAGACTGAATTGAGTATACCCTATCATGTTGACGAATCAAATTACGGAGTAACTAGCGTTTAGTGTAACGTTTTAAAAACGGGTCATCTTTGACTTAACACAAATCAAACAATTAATCTGGCGCGGACAAAAGGAATGAAATTTTAAACCAAAAATTTGCAACATTTTCTTAACTTTTCCAACACAGGGTGTATAAAAAAGTACCCCCTGTTAAAATCAAGCTTTTGTTCGAATTTGAATGTCTTATTATTATGTCTAACTCACGGGAGCTTAAAATGTAAAGAGAGATGCTCAATTTGAATGCCTCAACCTATGCCTACCTTGCCTATTTATCATTGCAAATGATACAGGGTGTATAAAAAACTGCAACTCTTAATATTTATATATGTTCACTTCTATGCAATAACAGACGATCGTAGGCCTCTGGGAATTATTAAAAGTTTCGTTTTTTTTGCACCCTGAAGGCATTCAAATTCGAACCGAAGCTTCATTTCAATAGGGGGTACTTTTTTATTCACCCTGTGTAATATTAGCAGGAAACGATAAGTTTCGGGCTGAGGCATTGTAGTCTAGTGAAACGATAGGATTAATAATGGTAATAATATTAATAATGATAATGATGGGAATATAAGGTATAGAAACATTATAGAAACTTCATAAAACTATGGAAACTATGATGTACGAGGTGTAAACAGTGCATGCAAACACTATAATTTTTCATAAGTAGTTACTCCAAATAGCATTGTAATGCCAGTGCAATTAATTATACTTTTGGGATTTGAAAAAATTTTTTATTCCTTGTTGTTTGAATAGCCAAAGGACGCTGCATGTAGATGTTTAAAATCATATTAGAATCTTTATTCTTGCATATTAATAAATTCAATGATAAACCGCAGTTGCTAACCCACACTCACGGTCACAGATCCAATGTAGGGTAAAGAATTTTACCATAAAATCCACGGTGAGCTCACAGCACGGAGTCACACAGATTTTGTTGCCCGTGAAACTATTACACGAAATACTACATTTTTGTGGTGTTATTCACTTTACGTCGAATATTTTATGAAATACAGAATCAAAAGTGCCCAAGACTAGCAATTACTTAATTAGTAAGCTATTGGCGATCTTAATTAGCTACGCCACACCCCCCCCCCCTTCTAAAAGAGTGTTCTCTAACAGTAAACTAAAAATGTCACCAAATCCAAATAGATTTAGTTCTTTACTAAATCATATTGTCCGAACTCTTCAAAGTCAAACTTGTAGTATATGCCGTTTGCTGGCCAGGCAAACATCATTTTCATGTGTTATTTTCACATGGTCCAACTTTCTATTATCCTTTTCACGTAATAACGGCTCTTCAATTCTTCTGTGTCATAACAGGATCTTGAGGTAGGGTCTACTCATTGCTGTAAAGTTCAGAAAAGCAAATACTAAATTACATTTAAATTTAACTAGTAAACCAATGTTAAACAACAAGGACACTAGTAGCTTATTCAGGGTTAGAAAGGATTGGGAAATGGAGGGGACCATGGAGTATACCATGCTGGGGGATGGAATGATGGTGGCAATGATGGTGCTGGAGGATGGAATGATGGTGCTAGTGGTGGGAAACTCTGCGACTGTGGAAGTAGGAAAATGCTTGGAGGTGCCGTAACTAAAGACACAAAATATATGTTCTTGGTTTCCAAGTTGGTTGTAGTTGAGGGGTTTGGTGGGTAGCGTACTAGGTTTGTGTTACGTAATTAGGTTTGTGTTTCATATATAAAATGAATAAAAATATATCAACAAAGTAACTGCATCCCTAGACCAGCGGTATGTTCCGGAAGTTCGTCA